TGTGACTTTGATATCTACAATAACAGAAAAAACTTGTCATATTACAAATGTTTCAATCACAGCAAAATATGTTCAAAAAGCTATTTAGAAATTATAAATTAAAATTAACTGAATTTTGTTAATATGATTAATGTGTTAAATATTTTATTTCATTTTAAAATATAGATACTCATGTTTCAATGTAAATAATTTCCTTCCTTTACTGTGTTTATTTTACACAAATAAAAACAGTATTTTTAGAAGAGGGCCATAGGCTCCTATAACAAGCCAAAGGGTACATGTCTCAGGAAAGGCTAGGAAACCCTGTTATATACAGTGGTTTCTGTTTACCAGGATAGCAAAAGATCACAAGATATAATTATAAACATGGAAATGCCTCCCCTAGTTTAGAAGGCAAAGTTTGCATGCAATAAACCTGACATGCCCTGCCTTTTCCAGAAATAAAAGCTTCCATATAATTCTGTCAGCCTGAAAATCATTAGCTGGAAACATCTTCTGTTTCTCTGAGGTCAAAACATTGGGAGAGTCTAGGCTTATACCAACCTAATTTAGTAATCTAGGACATTCATCATGAATGGGGAGGCAAGAGTATAAATAAATACATAATAAATAATAAAATAAATAAAAGTAAAATGAATAAAACATGTGCATTATATGTACACATATATAAAATGGTGTATCAACTTTGCTAGATCCAAGATTCTCATTGAGAAAACTGAAGGAGGAAGAACAAAAAGGATGAGTGAAGGTAACAGAATCACTTATGGGGTAAGTCAGATAGCTGTGTTAGTAAACAATGAAGCAACACATAGGTATTGGATAGGATCCCTCATCCAAGGTTCAACAATGAGAAAACATTCAGCATCATTAAGCCACAAAGTTAAGGGAAAGTGAAGATAAAGAAAAATTAAAGATAAGGAAAAAACTAACAAAATCAAAAGCTATAACTAAAAATACAATTCACCTTAATGTTTTTAAAAGGCACATTTCTTTAAAGCTTGGATATTTTACTTATGAAATAAGCAGCATTATTTGTATCATCAAGCAATTGTAAGGACCCAATGGGAAAAGTATTCCACTTAATTCATAAGGAAAAGATTCTCTGAATAACCTAAAACCTATCTCAAGAAGGCCCAGTTATACCTCCTAGTTCCAGTATATAAACAAAGTCACAGAAAATGATCAAGAAAAAATCATATGAAGTTATTAAGTGAAGCCAAAATCTTAAACTGTCAACCAGAAACACAACAGGAATTGTGGCATGTTTCTATTTACTCACTGGGGAAGTGGGATCTTCCCCCTGCCACCACCCTGCGAGGTTTACTCCCAAAATGCCCGCTATACTGAAACCAGAGGCTTGGGAATTCAATCCACGTCTCCCACAGGTGGCAAACCTCTTCAGGTGCTGAATAGCAGAAGCTGTAATCAGGAGCCAAGCCAGGATTCAAACCAAGCCCCCTGACATGTGTGAATTGCAAGCATCCCAAAAGATGCTTAACCCTGGGCTAAACTCGTATCCTAAGGATTCTTATAAACTTGGAGCAACATTGAACGCGAACTGATTTACCTTATTTACCCCTGCACTTTTTCAGGACAACCAACACACCCAGTTAAGAAATGCCCCACAGCTGACTATACGAACATAGAGGATTGGCTAACACTCAAGATGTCACTACACCTGGGTTCATTGTCTGGCAGTGGATCCTAACTCTGGCTTCCCATCAAAGCAGATCCTGGGAATCAGTGGTGATAGCCAAAGCAATCCCTACCACACCGCGGAAGACTAGGATTAAATACCTCACTCCCAGCTTTAGCATCCAAACAGCCCTGGCAGTAGCAGGCATTTCAGGGGTGAACTATTGGATGACAAATCTCAAACTTTCTTGCTTTCTCTGTGCTTCTCAAATAAAGAAAAATATTTAAAAAAAAAGAAAAATATCTTTAAACATTAAATACTTATGTACAGTGAAATAAACCAATCCCCAAAATACAAATATCATTCTCTCTGAAACATTCATGCAAAATACAAGGTCAGTAGATAAATATATGTAAATGCCTATTTTCCTATATATCTAGAGGAACTATATAATGGAGGAAAGTATACCATTAAGTGGAGATGCATCAGAATATGATCCTTATTCACAAATAAAAGGAGGCCTGTCAATGAAACTGTTAAATATATCATGACAAGAGAATGCTGGACTTCATACCATTGCCTATACCTATAATGTCAGGATACACTTAAACAGCAGAATGATGGACTTGTGACTGTTGTTGAAGAAATATACTAGTGTTATAATATGGGCGGGGGTAGAGGGGGAGGCAGAGGGAGGTGGAAGGAGAAATCCTTAAGCCTAGGTAATTGTATCATGAAAAGAATATTTTAAATACATAAATAAAACAAATTAGATGCCACTAGTGGCCTGTTTCCAGTGACATGGCAAAACCAATCTTCTGTGAGAAACAACGGAGCCAACACAAAGAAACGATCAGATGTGCGTTCCCAGGAGACAACCTAGCTATGCTCAATCCCGACTTACAGTGTCTAGTGAGAGCCAAGCATCCCTCTCCCAGTTGCGATCTGCATTCCCAGCTTTTGCTAGGGTGGATGAGTCAGGCAGTAGGGTCTTGGCATAAATCACATAAACTGAGTTCTATTGCTTGAACTCTGTCCTGATTATGTTACTGAATATATCAGTGTTTTATGACTTTCTAACTTTCCATTGTCTGCCAAAAAGATATACACAGGACAACTTTTAACTTGTATGCCTTTGTGCTATGAATATTAAAATACAGAATTCACTTCAAGCAATGAACTTCAACCTAAAAGAACTCAAAATGCTGATTGTTTAGAAAAGTAAAATTTTGCCTTTACTTGGAAGAAGTGATCAAATCTATTCTAGATAGTAAAATAGAATAAGGTGACTATTCTACAGAAATGAAACTTTTACATCTATTTCTAAAGAACCTGCTTCTTTAAGAATGTTAGGAAGGCTGCTGAAAGAGATAATTCTAAGTAATAATAATCATTAAAATGCTAATTTCAGATTTTCCCGTTTTATTTCTGCACTGAGTGTATGTTTTATTGAACTTTTTGGGCATTTAATTAATAGCAATATCAAACTATGTCAAATTTAATTTCTTTCTTCTTTTTATCAATTTCATTAGCTTTGATTAATTCAATTGCAAAAATATATAATATGCTGAATTAATCCTAGGGCTGTTCTAGAGATCAAATGCCAACTCATGGATTTTAAAATTCATGATTCTCATATTCATCTTAACCTCCATCTTCCCCAGAAGAGATTAAGCCTTGATATATAAATTGCCTGTAGTAAATTACAATATGTTTTCTTTCCACGAGGGTGCTGAAATTTCATATTTCCCAGCTATTTTCATGTGCTAGTGCCGCTTAAAAAGGCAGAAAAGCTTATGTAATTAGTTTTGAAAGTAAGTCTTATGTCCTTACAGTAGAATGAAAATATTTATTTTAATCTGGATCTCATCCATGTTGAATATTTTAAGATACACAATTGCTTCAACAAAGTAATCTCTTTCTCCGCTTTCTCTCATGTTATTTCCTTGGTCTAATAGCATTTCTAGTTAGCACTGTGCTGATTTATGATCATGTATTATCTTCTTTATTGGACCAGAAAGTCATTAAGGATTGTGAGTTTAGTTTATATTCATATGATCTCTGTAGCTGCTATAGCACCTAGCTCACTGCTTTCACTTATACAGTGTTAGAAAGGAAAAAAGTCACAAAGCCAATCAATTTCTCATTAATTTATCAGAATGCTGGAAAAAATATCCAATACTGTCTCTCAATCACTGCTCTACTTCTCTAAGCGAATTTGGCACTTTTTTATACCATGTGACCTAAGTACACTCAAAACTTCACTTGCTGCCCAGTATATACAAGAGTGTGTAGGTGTGTCCACCTGTATAACATACAGACTGGAATTTCTCTCCAAAATGGGGAAGGAAAAAGTCCATAAATCCATTTGAGTTACTTTAGTCAACTATTTCCTACAATCCCAAGAATTAAGAGAACAATAGTTTTATTAATATGAGCCAAGTACCCTGTGTATCTTTAAGGCTAATATTTTTTGGAATACACTTGGCATATCCTGATACATATAAATGTTCAAGACTTTGACTTAACAATCCAAAAATGGTACCTTATTCTAAGTAAATAATTTGCACAGGAAATTTATAACAGTATTTTAAATCATTGTCAATAAAAACAAATTGATCAGCAACAAGAAAATTGTGTTTCTTACTTTAGTTTTCAAAAACTCTCATTTCAAAATAAAAACAAAATCCCAGATAATACAAATGTCCACAGGAACCACTTTTATCTAAGTAATATGCATACTCAGTTGTAAGATATTAAGTAATTTTGGGGGATGGTGCTGCTTTTCAAAGTAATGACAATAAAATTATGGAAGTAATGCAGAGTCCTAAGTGTCACTGGGATTTTTTTAAATCCTTAGATGCTGTAATTTCTAGCACAGAACTATTTACACCCAAGTATCACTGGTTGGCTGGCATACATGAAGCCATTCATTTTAAGAATGCTTCAAAGAACAGCTTGCAAACTCCAGGAGTGGAAAAAAAAAAACCAAGAATGTGCCATTGTAAGAATTCCCAAACATCACAAGCATGACAGAAGACTGTGCCATTCTTCTGAAATGAGATTTCAAAGCAGTGTAGGCCAAAACACAAGGTTTGAACCAAAACAAAATACATATGCACAATTTTACCATTTGTGTTAGTCATATAGTCATCTTTTTTACTTGAACAATATGTGATACACAGCCAGACACCATGTTTCACTATCTCTTAATATTCACAATTACAGTGCCACAACTCAATATACAGAATCATAATCCTACCCAGAATCAGTTAAAACCGAAATTAAAATTTTTATAACTAGGAAGTGGTTGTCCATAAGCACTGGCTAGCGTCATAAACGAAAATGTCTGCATTTAGGAAGAAACAAATGTTCTGTTCATCTGTTTCCCTTGTTCTGTTCCACAACTCATGCTTAGAAACTGGCGTGCTTGGGTCTGCTGGAACCTCCCCACTGAAGAGGCCACCTGCTAGGCTACATTGTGCTTCAATACTGTCCAATCAAACGTGTAGTCATAATGGTGGTTCAGGTTCCTGAAAAGGATGCGGAATAGCTGCCTCAGATACATGTAGTCAGGGACCTCCTCAAAGCGCAGACCGCGACAGTAGTTCAAGTATATCGAAAATTCTGAAGGAAACCCCTTACATAAAATTTCAACAGGAGTGGACATCTTCTTTTCGCTGATCTTTTCGTATTTCTGTTTCTTTGTTGCGGCCTTTAGCCCCTGCCATGGCAGGCTGGTTCTATTGAAATACATCAAAACATACCCTAACGACTCCATGTCATCTCGGCGACTCTGCTCGATGCCGAGATGGGCGTTGATGCTGGCGTACCGGGCAGTGCCTGTGAAGGTCTTATTTTCTCTGTATGGGATGTGTTGCCTGGTCCTGTTGTCTCGGTACTTTTTGGACAAACCAAAATCAATCAGGAATAGCTTATTACAGTGACGTCCAATGCCCATGAGGAAATTATCCGGCTTAATGTCTCTGTGTATGAAATTCTTTGTATGCATATATTCAATTCTACTGATCATCTGGTCAGCCAACATAAGCACGGTTTTCATCGTGAACTTTCTTGAACAGAACGTGAAGAGATCCTGGAGGCTGGGCCCCAAAAGATCCAAGACCAGGGCATTGTAGTCTTTCTCCTGACCATACCAGCGCATGTGGGGGATGCCGACCCCACCCTGAAGGATCCTATAGACCTTGCTCTCGTACAGCAGCTGGGAATGGCTGGCCTTCCGCGATTCTAGCTTCACCGCCACTTCCTCACCGTTGGTGCTGTTAACCGCCAGATAAATGTCCCCGAAGGAGCCAGACCCGATCTTCCGTACCAGCTTATACTTCCCTCCGACAACTAACACGGGCCTGGAGTCGCTGCTGCTGCTCGCCATCCTGAGATGAAGATGGAGACCGAGTCCAGGCCCCCGCACTTCCGGGTGGAAGGCGGCGTTGGGGTCGGGGACGGACCGCAGCCTCAGGAGCTCGTCCACACTGCAGGAACGACTTAAACCTTACCTGCTTCCCGGGGCAGCGAATCCGCCGATGGGAACACAGTCACGGAGCCAGGCAGGTTTTGCTGCTGGCCCCCATTTGTGACATGTTGGACTGTCACTAGGTTGGGCAGCGTATTTCTGGGCAGCCACTGCTACCCGGCTTTCTCAGTGACATCATCACAGGTTGAAAAGTGAGTGCAAAGAGCAAGGCAAAATCACAGCCACTGCTGACTCCCTCTCCAGTCACAGGGACCCTAGACACCGCCCCAAGGCCACCATCTTGTTACGCCCACCCCAGCCCACACAAGATGTGCCCATTGTCCAGGAAAGAGCTTCCTCAAGGCACAGAACCCCTGTTAGGTCAAAGATCTTGGGCTCTAGCCCTGACGTGTTGGCACGGAAAAATTGTTAAACATGTTTGGTGTAATAATTTGATGACCAATCCTGCATCTAAAATACGAAAAAAATGATACTGTTAACGTAAGAAATTACATATTTTTTAAATTACAAATATGTACCATATCAGCTACATGACAATTTAAGAGAGTCAAAAATAAAAGGCATACAGTTCGTAAGTTTGTCAAAATCACAAATTTATTTGCTGCCATGGAAAAGATTATTTAAGTCAGGAAAGGCTATGAAAGTTGCAAAAGGATTGACATCAGGGCAAATGAGTGAATGAGAATTTAGATTGACAAGCTAAATCACAGGTCACTTAGGCAGATGTTCCAGGAACGGTTTCGGTTGCCTGTGGGAAAAACTGTTGGGCCAGACAGAAGATTGAAGAATCCTACCCAATTATTTCAGTTGCTTGCTGAGATTGACATGCCTGAAGCACCTCAGAGAGGCAAGGATCTTCATAACAGATTTCATAACCTCATTTCGAATTAATCAGAAAAACTTCATATATTCTTTTATTTTTTTCATAAATTCCTACATGTTATCAAGGCTTCTTGGGAAGAAATAACAATTTAGTAAATATTCATCCTTGACACATATCCCTTTGTATATTTAGTAATATCTGAGAATATGCATCAAAATCTTCTTTCAAAAATAGGAAAACCCCATCCTTGATTTTTTTAAGGCAAAATGACTACAGTGTAGTAAGACATATTCATTCATTAGGCAAGGCATTTTCTGGGTGTTAGTATGGATAAACCCATTTCAGCAACACAACAATCATATAAGGTTAACAGTTATTCCTCTTATTCTTCAGATAAGAAAACATAGGGGAATAATTCATCATCCAAGATTTTACAGTGCAGTGTCAGCAGTGCTAGGCTCAATGATCTAATGGTCCCACTCACTTTGAACACTGCCCCTCGTTAGTCCTTAACTCCTTCCTGTTAGAAATATGTCTTAGACAAGCGGTATGCCTCTGTGAGTTAAGCCACTGTTTGCAAAGTCGGCATAGTTTGAGTCCCAGCTGCTCCACTTATGCTGTAACTCCCTGTTAATACACCTGAGAAGGCAGCGGCGGATGGCGCAGGTTCTGGGGCCCCTGCCTTCCTGGCCCGATGTACCTCTAGCCATTTCTACCATGCAAGGAGATATTTTCCATAGGATGGAAGATTTTTTATTTTCTCTAACTTTTGGGGAGTAAACCAGTAGTTGAAAAATATCTCTATTTGTGTTTTCTTCTCTCTCTAAATCTGCTTTTCCAATAAAAAATAATTTTTCTAAATGCACTAGAGTAAGATGGTGACTGAATAGACATTTCCCCAGAGAAACCAATGTAAACAGCTACTCATACACCAAGACCTTCACAAAAAAAAAAAAAAAGAAAGGAAAGGAAAGGCCAGAAGGGAAACTCCACCTAGTATCCTGGATTTAGCGTAACAGAGACAGATTACAGGGGCTGGCATCATTATACGAGTCAAGCTATTACCTGCAGTGCCAGTATCCTTTATAAGTGTTCTGCTGGCCGTTCTGCTTCCTATCCATTTCCAGGCAAAGAGGGAAATGGTGGTACAAGTGCTTGGGCGTCAGAACCCATGTGGGAAACGCAAGAGGAATTTTAGACTCCTGGTTTTGACCTAGTCTAGTTCCAGCCTTCATAGCTGTTCCTGGGAGTGAACTGTAGGATGTTTGTCTCTCTGTGTCACACCCCCTCTGTTATCCTGCCTTTTGAATAAACAGAAACTGATTAAAACAACAAGGCAAAGAAGGAGAAATGAAAGCATTGCCTCCCCAAGATCCAAGCACCACAGCACAGAGAGAGATGTCTTATTTCCTACTTCAGGAGAGTAGAATGAGTAAGTCCAAACATCAGTCTTGAAAGCAACAAGCAGGACCACTGTGGTAAAGCTCACAGCTCCTGTTCTCAGGCTAGAACTATCAAAATGAGCCTTAGAACCTTTCTCAGCCAGACAGCAAAATGATGCCCTGTCACCCTCCCCAGAGCTGGGCAGACAAAACAAGACTAAAGCTGCTCAGGATTAAGATAAGAAAATGAAAACAGGATTTTCCTTGGTGCTATGTGTCAGGCTGACCATGATGAGACACATCAGGAGAGTCCAAAGGGTTGTTATCTCCAGGGCAGTACTTACGGCTGACACCTTCTGTATCTGCCTCACCATCAGGCAAAAATCTGCAGCTCAACAAAGAAACTCATGTTCTGACCTTAATCATGGCTAGCCTCCTTTGGGCCTGGAACACAAAACTCAAAGTTATTTTATTAAATAAATAAATAATTACTAAATTGCTTATTCTCACAGTCTTATTCAGTATAATTCTGGAAGTTTTTGCCAGAGAACCAGTAGACAAAAGAAAACAAAACAACAAAAACACAAGGATACAATTTTTGAAAAAGAAGAAATCACACTATTCCAATTTATATGACATTTTTTCTTCTATACAGGAGCCAAATGATTCCACTTAGTGACTACTGGCACTCCTATGAGAATTCCACAAAGTTATAGGATACAAAAGCAACTCACAAAAATGACAGCATGCTTTCTAGATGAGTCAACAACCACAAAAGCTCAGTAGTATTGTGACACACCAATAGTGAAGCACCTGAAAAATAAATCAGGAAAGCCGTCCGTTTTCCAATAACTACAAAAATAAAATACCTAGGAATAGTTTTAGTCAAAGAAGTGAAAGATTTCTACAATGAAAACGATGCAGCATTGGCGGAAGAAATTGAAAGGGGGTGTCATGTCATGTATGCTCTACTTTTTCAAGACAAAATAACTTTAAATATTAAAAAAAATTGCAAGGTGATCTTGAACCACATGAGCATATATTTATCTTGTAATATTAAAGAGATTATGAATATAAAAGTTCTTTTATTACACAGGAGTATTTTCAATGCTTGTGAATTAAATATCCAAAATCCAGTAGATATTGATGGATCTGAGGAGTCTCTGACCATCCACAGGAAGTTCATGACACTATGACTACTGTTCAATTTCCAAGATTCCTATCCCTAAAATTAATTATTTTAATTACATGCCCTGAACCATAATTAATGTGTGTCTTATTGTTAAATTCTGACCCTATAACTTACTGATTCTTAAAAAAAAAAAATAAATAAAAACTAAGCAGGTTCTACCAACAGTTTTTATCCTTTACTTTTACTATATTTATACTTTTAAGTTGAACCTATCCCTTACCACATTTCAATTATTTCCAAATTAAATTCAACAGTTTGAAAACCAGAGCTCATCAAGGCCATCTCCTAAAGCAAGGAACTCCAAACAAGAACGGTTTTTCAAGAACAGTTAACTTGCTTTCAATGAAACATTAATCAGAAATTCTGGTTTGAATAGATTATTTCACTTAAAGCTGTAAGTATCTGTTCTTGCTGTTGCCCTAATTATGTTTAGCATAGAATTTTAGAAACACAAAATGGATTCTCTACGCACAAGGAATTGCCTTGAATGGTATAATTTGGAACAAAATCTTTATTACTGTGTACTAAGAAAGGTATATATACACACACAAATTCCATTACCCTAATCCTGTGTGTTCATACCCTCCCACCTAAAAAACATTCACTTAAAAAAGCTTAGACTTTCTAGGGTACATCCACCTCGAGTAAACTTTCTGTAGCAACATTTGATCTGACAAATCTGAATGTTTGAAACTGCCTAATGCTTATTTATGCTACACTTATGACTAAATCACTAGAAAGAAAAGTATCAATATAGTTAACATATTATTAAAGATGGTTAAAGTCCTAATATTTTTATCATGTGTAATATAGTGCCTTGAAAAAATTACCAAAAAGTGAGTTTCAAGAGGATATATTTTCCTATGGTTTTTCTAAAGCCAATAAAACTCACCCAACCTCACCCACTAGACACATACATTGGTGCAAAGAGTATTGGGAATTTTCAGGGTGGAAGAGAAAGAAAGTAGCGAAGAAAACATAGGGTGATTGAAATATCTTGGGAAAGAAATAGATCTCAAATTTTGACCAATTTTAATTCTAGCCCTACAGATTCTTTTATTCATTTAACAAATGTTTATTGAGCATCCACCACATGGTATACATATTATCTCTGCTCAACACACATATGACGCGGCTGCTTTGATGGTTCAATTGCTTTGATGGTTCAATTCACCTGCAAGAGCCAGCATCTCATATGGGCTCCAGTTTGTGTCCTGGTCCAAAGCCTTGGGACCTGCCCCCACATGGGAGACCCATAAGAAGCCCCTGGCTCCTAGCTTGGGATTAGCTCAGCTCTATCCATTGCAGCCATTTGAAGAATGAATCAGCAGATGGATGATTTCTTGGTTTCTCACTCTCTCTATAAATCTGTCTTTCAAATGAAAATAATCTCATATATATGATGTTATGTTAAATTTGATTTTTCCTTAACTTCATCTGTTTAGTTTTCATTTTTTAAGTGTTGAAATAGTCAAGCTAAGAATAATTAACAGAGGTTTTGAGCAGAGCCTGTTAGGGGACAAGCAAGTACCACCTCAGTATGTGATATTCCTCATTTTTCTCTCGTTTCCCCAAAATCCCCCAACAGTCCCATGAGCGGAAAATGAAAAAGCTCTTGGGAGAACTAAGTAAAACAGCTTAAATAAAGGGTTCAGAATGGTGAGCACTTA